ATCTTGGCCACATGGTGGGTTAAGGGTTTGGCCCCATCTGGCCCTTAACCTTCCACCAAGCTTAGTACTCCAGCAGCTATTCTAACGTGCTTTGATACCAAGTTGCTCTTGTCACAGGCCCTGGTAACTGAGGCCCAACTCTCTGATGTGCTTTGTTAGCAAATACGTCTACACATTGTTGTCAAAATTTTAGGTTTTAAATTTTGCCTTTTTTGTTTTGTGTTATGTATTCTGATACTGACTACGTGACTCTAAAATATTGGGCATATCTGTGTTAAGAGTCTCACATCTAAGAAGTTTTTTCATTCTAGAATATTTGTCTGTCAATTCTTGATAAGGACCAGGTAAGATCTACTTATTCTATTTGATCTCTTTGTTGCTTTAATTGGAAATAATAAAGGCTTTTGTGGCAAAGATTGCAGTTCAAAGCCAGCCCCTGCTGCAAGATCCCTAAGACTCCATCTCTCAGCTAACTTGCAAAGAGCCAGGCTGGAAGCATGGCACAAAACTCTTATGTCTAACCAGCCAAACTCTGCAAGTGGTACTATAACTCAAAGTGGTTCAGTGCTGTCCTGGAGCAGAAGTGCTCAGGGTCAGTGCCCAGGCCTTGAGGTCAAACCTCCTTGAATACCTACTGGGACAAGCCATCCCATCAACCAGAACCTAGACTCAGCCAGTCTGGGGAACAAAGGACCATGGAGAAGATTAAGAGGAGATGATGTCACATCAGCTACTTTGTGCCTGCCCTTTCAAAATTAACCAGAGCCGGGAGGTCAGTAGACCTCTATACCTGTCTACCTATTAACTGAACAGGAATTTATATTCTTGCCTTTGTCACCTGACTTGTCTACCTAGTCTCCAGATGTCAGAAGTAGCTAGGGACATTTCTACCAACATTTTCAGCCCCAAATCCTTCCTCTTGCCATTTATTTGCTCTCTAATATTTTTTTTCAAGCCCCTCAAAGCTTATGAGACTGCTCCAGACTTCATCTAAGGACTCACGCCACCTAGGGACAGCTGCTGCTCACTGCCTTCTCTGGGAGGGGACCAAATTCCAGCCTTTTACCCCTATTGTGGAGCCCCTTGTCAGCAGGAAATAGCCAGAGAGAATCGGAACCGTATTTCATGATTATCAAAAGCTGGAATGTTAGGTCCACTCCTGGATGGCTAGCAGACTCCACCCTCCTCCCAGCAAAGTCTCCACCCAGTACCTGCGTTACCTAGGCAACTGGGAGACCTGGAAGAAGTCACATCTGCATCCACTTAGGTCAGATCTGAATTTGATGTGGCCACACCTTTCTCCCCCAAACCCTAGATAAGGCCTAGCCCAGGCCCAAACACTCTCTCTCTGCTCTTTTCTAGACCTCTCTTGTCTTTTCTAGCTCTTTTCTCTCTCTTTCCCAGCTCTCTCCCTTTCCCTACCAAGGGGAGGACCAAGATGCCCTGGTGCCAGCCAGAACCATGAATAAACCTACACTTTACCTGAATACCATGTGTGTGCTGCTGTTCTTACTCGGCTACCTCTTTTTAAAAACCTAACAGTAAATATAATGAAACATGAAGAAATGCTACAAAACCTCTTTTACACATCTATACATGTGTGAGAAAAATTGCCTTTTCTCTCAGCATATTGCTTAAAAGTTCCTACTTTGGCCTGGAGGCTTGGTTCTTAAGGAAAAGACCAACTGCTTAGGGATAAAGGATTTGTCTGAAGTTTGATTTCTCATTAACTGTTTTTTTCCAGATGGGATTATGACACACCCTGGACTATTCCAGAAGTAGTAGGTAGGGTGGGCATCTGTTGAGATTACTTATGAACTGTTAATCTTACCTCAAAATCACCTGGTGTAAATACATTATCCTATTCAAATTAGCCAATCCCAAGCAGAATAGATTGTAACCCTGAGCTCCACCAATCTGAGCAGAGAGGCAGGGCCTGTTGCTGTATTAGCTATAAATAATGGGGCCGACTGCTTGCTCTGTGTGCTTGCTTGCCAGATTTTTGGCTGGTGGTGCACGCATGAGTTTGCAAGTAAATTTTGCTTTGCTGTAATTCATTTTTATGTCTATCATTGTGACTCCAGTGGTTCTTGGAGAATATATTTATAATGCATTGTAAAATAAATCAATGCTGCTGTTACAAAAGTAATGGTGTATTGCTCAAAGCTAAAAGGAGCTAATGTTTGAGTAGTGTGAAACTACAGAGCAGACCACCAGATGATGACCACACTCCATTGTTGCTGTTCACACAGTCAGACTGTGTCAGGGAAGCAAAAAGTGGACTACAACATGCCAGAATAGACAAAGTTTATTGGAACATCACACACTTCTATACAGTATACAGACATAAGAAGTAAATCTTACAGTCAGAGGGCAGAGTATTAATCTTAAGCAGTTTTATGGGAGCACAGAAAATGAGAATTTAACTTTAAGTCACTATGGAGGAATAGCGAGTAATTATCAACAAATGTGCAGCAGTTCCAATAATCAAAGGTTGTGAGAGGTAGGTAAAGCACAGGTGAGTACTCAAACGGGTTCTGGAGACAGTGTCCTATGTGTTCCCCACAGATTCCCCCTTTTTGTTTTAATGGCAGATCCACCTCCCACTTAGTTATCCTTTTCCTCTCCTCTTTAAAGCGTATTTTAACTGGATTACATTGGTAGGAATAGCATTGGCCATGCAGGGGTTTTGAGGCGAGTTTCATCAGACAAGGATAGGAAGGGCCCTTGTGCATAGGAGCAGGTCCAAGTTACCTCACATCCCCACCTAGCACAGTCATAAACATTAGCCCCACCACAGTTAGAAAAACCCAAGCATTTCTATCAGTTCCGGGGCATATATAAAAGTCAGTATCTTGTCCTCTTCAGAACATGGGAGCAGCCTGGGTACTGGGAGTTCCACACATGTGGCATGGTGCATCCTCGTGGGCCCCCACACTCAGGCCATTCTACTATAGTCCAGAAAAACAAGGAAAATTTAAAACAAACTGCAGACATAGCAAAGTCATCCCCGGTACCTTTTGTCTTTCAAGTAAGCCACTTCCTTGTATGTGCCTTCAAGCAAGCCCAGGGATCAAGATGACCTTTAAACTTTACTGTAAGCCCCCAACACCCCATCTCTGTTTCAAGAAGCGAACCCGCCTGTCTTAGGTTGGGTGGATCGCCTTGTCTGCCTTACCCGTCACTGGGAACTTCTTCAGAGCGAAGCTGAAGGCCCTGTCTTAGGTTGGTCAGACTGGCACCCCCTCTTACCCGTCTCTGGCTGCGGTTCCTCTCGGGGAAAATTTATTCACTTGGAGCTTGATCTTCTATAACTGGCTGGCTAAACTCATAAGAGTTTTGCAGGGCACGTATAATGCAAGGAAGGCATAGAAAAAGCATCAGCCAAACCATTTTCAGCCCAAGAGTGAGGGATGGAATAGCAGTCTTTGCCACTTCATAGACCAGAGGTGGGGATTGTTCTAAAGCAGGTATATTATTTTTTTTTTTCGGAGGGGTGGTCCGGTGGTGGGGCCTGAGATCTGGGTCTGGGCACTGTCTCTCAGCTCTTCAGCTCAAGGCTAGTGCTCTACCACTGGAGCCACAGCACCACTTCTGGCCTTTTTTTCCTGCTTATGTGGTGCTGAGGAATCAAACCCAGGGCCTCATGCATGCAAGGCAAGCACTCTACCACATTCCCAGGCCCTCTAGTGCATTTTTTAGACATGTTTACAGCAAGCTTAACAAAGGGTAGTTGTACAAGCAAGTAGTAAAAGAACAATTAGAGCTGGTAACATTAAAATAATTAGCTCTTACAGAAATATTAAACCGTCCATCTGTAATGTGATAGGGTGGTGATCAAAATGAAGGTCAGGCCACCAGGTCGAAGGCACTGCTTCTCTTGTGGTGCAATTGATGATTTCTGCATTGCCAGTGCCGATCACTGCCCAGGTCACCCTTTGAGGTTGATGTGAATTCCAAAGCCATTGCCAGGACTGGGAGGGTCAGGACAGCCATCAGCTGGAGTATCACCATCTGCAATTGTTAGAGAACACAAGAGCTTCTCAAGGGCTGGTTGCCCTTGGGGATGGTTAGTTTATCCTTGGGCATCCTCCTGTATAGAGGAAATGGGTAAAAACTTAAGGTTCCTGGCAGGCATCCAAAAGGGGGCTGTCTCCCCTATGGGAAAAACGCATCCAAATCCCCTGCCCATGGTAACTTGGGGGTCAGGTCCTCTCCATTGTGTGTCAGGGGGTCCTTCCACCTGACTTTCACTTGGGGCTTAGGGTTTAGTTGTCCCCAGTGCTTCTGAAATCTGGATTCAGGTGCCCATTTTGAATAATTTAAAATGTTAACAGTAAACAACGCTATCTGCAACTGTATATTGGGGCTACCTCCCCCTTTTTTGTAAAAATAGCTCCATAGTATATTGGTGATTTCTTTCTATATTACTTGGGCTTGGAGATTATAGAGAATTCCTGTAGTATGATGAATGTGCCATTTGTCAAAAAACTGTCTTCTGCCTCTTTTGCACTGCCAGTGACCTCCTCTTTTCGGGCAGTACTCCTGGCTTCTGGCCTGGTCAGTTCAGCCTCCTGAGTAGCAGAATTGCAGGTATGAAGGATGGATGCCTGATTTACTTGAGATTTTTAACCACCTTCTTTCATGGACAATACAATGAAATAAATGCTTCCCCTTGAAAAGGGAAGAGGGTAATGATTGGAGAAGAGTGCTGAAGATCAGTGTGTGATCTCTAGTGCAGGGTTGGTTACAGGCTCGTTAGTTCATCCACAGATGCTGGGGAAAGTCCAAATTCAAATGATTGTGCTTGGAAAATCCACCAGGTGTTTCGGGGACACCACCTGCATTGATTCAGGGCCTCTTTGCCCCTTTACTTCTTGTTTTCTCTCTCTCTTTTTCATCGTCCAGGTCATGTAGAGAGGGGTTAGTTTACTCAAGTAATTCATTAAGTATATTTTGTCCAACTCGTTACACCTTCCCTCACCTTTCTCCTATTTTCCCTATCTTGACAATCCCGCTGCCCCTTTCATAAATGACTTGTTGTACCATCTATCCTTTTGGATGTCCTGGATGGTAATTCTTGCTGTTGGATTCTCCACTAGGATTTTCTGAATCAGAGCCAGAGGAGCAGAATCAATTTTTTTCCAGGGCTTGAGATATGTTTTCTTTTCTTTCCAATCACAATATTCTGGACAACTGTCACTGGGCTCTTCCCATGGTAAGTCTCCAGCCAACATTGCAGTAAGAACTATGCCACAGGACCAAACATCAACTGGTTCTGCATGACATTCTTCCCTCTTCAGAAGTTCTGGAGCCACATAAGGTAAAGTACCACACATGTTTGTCAAGAAACGCTCACAATTCTTATGGCGAAATACTGTGGCCAAGCCAAAGTCACAGATTTTGAGGTTATCCCTTTTGTCCAAGAGGAGATTTTCTGGCTTAATATCTCTATGAGCTATTCCAATACCATGCAGATAAAACAGCCCTGCCATGAGTTGATGGAAGAACCTCTGAGCATCTTCCTCAGGCATGCCTATATCTGGCTGTATTCTATCAAAAAGGTCTCCACCACTACAGTATTCCAAGAATAGATATCGCATATTGCCTTCTCTCCTGTGACCATAGAATTTCAAAACATTCTCATGGTTTAACATTTGATTAATGCAGATTTCTTTCTTAATATTTTCCGGAGAGTTCCTGGCCCGTTTCATGTCTAAAATCTTCACTGCAACTGCCTGTTTAGTTGCTCTATTCACAACAAGCTGAACTTTTCCATAGGTACCTTTTCCCAGGGTTTTCACCAAGTCCCAGTCTCCGCAAAAGGGCACTCTCATGACTTTTCCAATCAGTCCGGCAGACTTGTCCTGGGCCAGCCACCTTGATGCACCTTTGTTTTCCGTGAAGAAACCTGCAAATGAAGCTGCCATGATTACAGGTAGAGGTTAATGTCTCCTGAAGGGATTAAGCAACCAACGTGGGTCAGATGGACCCTTGTTCTGTTGCTTACAACCGCCACTGAGAAGAGGCTGAATCCACCAGCCTGAGCCTTCGCCACTGCCTCTGTTCCTGGGAGCTTTGTCCTTTCTTGCTGGCTGTGAGGTTTGCCCTAGGAGTCTTGGTCACCTCAGCCTGTTCTGGAGCCTCTGTTTGAAGTCCTTTTCCTGCTCGCTCTTCACCTCCTTCCTCCAGCAGCCTGGACCAAGCAAATGAAGTCCAGGCCATGCTGCTCTTCTTTATATGCAGGACATGATGAACCCACCCTTCCCTTTCTGGGAGGGTTTGCCCTTGCAGAAGACTTCAGGAGCAGGGTGTGTCTTGTCTGGCCCCTGCCTTTAATCCTGGCTACTCCAGCCGCTAAAATCTGAGTATGTAGGTTCCAAGCCATCTAGAGAAGGAAAGTCTGAGAGAACTTTTTCTTTCATTTATTACCAAAAACAAACAGGCAAAAAACCACAAGTGGAGCTGAGACTCAAGTAGTAGAGAACAAGCCTTGAGCACAAAATCTTAGGACCCAGGACGAGAGTTGAAGCCCTAGCACTTGCACAAATTCTTCATGAATTTTTGTGCTTTCTTCAAGTACTCAGCTTCATCAATGTAGGCACATCTTTGTTTGTTACCTTTCTAACCTTTCTAGTCGTGGTAATTTTCTCAAGATTAATGGCCTTCTCTGGGAGTGGAGAAAATGAAATCATCATTGGTGGGTTGTTGTTTTTTTTTTAATCAGTCGTTGGTCTTGAACTCTAGGCCTGGGCATTGTCCCTCAGCTCTTTAGCTGAATTCTAGTTCCACTTCCGGTTTTCTGAGTGGTTTATTGGAGGTAAGTTCCTCACCGGCTTTCCTGCCTTTGAGGCTGGGCATCTCAATCTGCAAATCTCAGCCTCCTGAGTAGATAGGATTACAGACCTGGGCCACTGGCACTGGACTGGTTGTAGGTTTGTTGGTGAGGGGAGAGTCTCCCACTTGTCCCATAAAGTTTAGAGAATGCCCCAAATTCTACTTATGCTTGCGGGAGGGTGTGTCCTCATAGTCACCCACAGGAGCTTGGTGTGGCATGCCCAGGACTCTAATCCTGGCTACTGAAGAGGCTGAGATATGAGGATATATGTTCCAGGAGAGGTAGAGCTTTGTTATCACCAATTTACTAACAAAATAGCCAGAAGTGGAGCTGAGGTTCAAGTGGTAGAGTACAAGCCTTGAACACAAAAGTTAGGTCCCTAGACCAGACTTGAAGCCCTAGTGCCGGCACTAAAACCTTCAGGAATTTGTGTGTTTGTTTACAGCAAAGATCTCAGTTTCATCGATGTAGGCTCTTTTCCTTGATATCTTTGTGGTTGCCTTTTGGTCAAGACAGACTTCATAATTGTCTCCAGTTGAGTGGGCTCCTGGGGGAGTAGAGAAAAAAAGAATCTCATAGTTTTATCCACAGGGGTAATAGGTATGAGGAGAGCCTCCCCCTTGCCCCAGGAGGTTTGGAGGTGGCCTAGGTGAAGCAGCCTGGAGTTTGCACATCAGTCTTATTCCTACCATCCACCTGATATGGAGATGTTTAATGAGCTTCAATGACATTGAGTGCTGCAGGAAGTGGATTCTTAATTACTGAATGGTGGAATCCAAGTGCCATTTAGAGCAGTGTTCCTAGAGTATTCAAACCATAGAAACTAGGAATGCTGAAACCTCAAGCAGAGCTGACAATGTTGTCCACACAAAAGTAGCTGGGTCTACAGTTCAGGTGCAAATGTGAAAGATGGTGAAGTTTGTTGTCAGATATTTCTTCCCCTTTTTACATCTGATTTGGCACGCTGTGCAAATGAAAATATTAGCATATGATAGCATATTCTTGCTAAGACTCAGCTGTAGTGGAAGCATTTTTCTTGAATTCAGATGTGTGTGTGTGTGTATGTGTGAGTGTGTGTGTGATGCTGGAGTTGTGATGGAACCATAGGGAATGTTCCCCTTGATTGTCTGTGAGAAATTGCTCCATAGGTAAAATTTGAATGATGTGGAAACAGTGTAGTGAAGGAATCAAATACTGAGCTCAGTAGAAAAATGGAGTTTGTTGGAAGGAAATCTCAGGTAGAAATAGGATTGGGGCAGGGTGTGGCTGAGGCAGAACTTCAGGGGGATTTTCATGTTATTGGGACTTAAACCCTGATGTAGGTAGATTTAGGTGGTCAGAATTGCTACTGGTAATCATTGTGGGAAAGAAGGAATAAGACTGGAGACAGGAGGCGCACTGAGGATGCTAGCATGCTCTATGTGAGTGGCTGATGGCTCATCTGAGTTAAAGAACAAATCTGAGATCAGCAGGCCAGCGTACAGCCTTGAATGTCCTTAGCTGGGGGAAGAAAAAGAGCCCAAGGTTAATTGTTTTATGTCAAAAAGATGGGTGAGTCCAGTTATATAAAAGCATAGCCCCAAGGGCCTTGAATACTACCTTTTTAGATGCTGATTTGACTAATCTGTGTTGGCAATAGCACTCTCCTGTTCCTAAGTAGAGCTCACAAAATCTAGCTGGAGTCAGGGGATAGTGGTAGGGTTGTTCTTATACTTTTTTGGTCTGTGTCTGTGATTATAAGCATAGTATCTTTTAGCAAACATGTATGTAGAACATTGTTCAACTAGAAGGAATATCAGGGCTCTTCAGTTTCCTGAAACAATCATGATACCTGTTGCATGATTGCTAGTAAGAGTTGCATTTCAATTTCTCTTAATACTTAATGGAGTCATGAGGATAGACTGCTGGCATAATTCTCAGGTTGTAAAGTGATAGCATCCTCAGACCCTTCCGTGGGCAGGCATCTGTCCCTGCATGCTGTTGAACCAGAACTTCTTGGGCTATCATAAGCTGGGCCCTGACATTGCTCTGAAGAAACTTGTCCAGTACTTACTTTCCAGTGTTGTCCCTACCAGGTATAAACTGCTAAGATATATAGCTGTCTTTCTGACCACGTGCTTTGAAGGTGGGTGCATCTCTTCAATGCTTCCTATACTATTTTCAGTGTTTTTGGAATTTATAGTGGAAGTGCTCTCCTGACTTTGATCAGAACTGAGAGACTTCTAGGCATCTGTGTTGTACTCTGAGGTTCTTTCTTCACATCTATGAAAACATACAAAATAAAAAGTTTCTCTGCATTTCTTTTAAAGTCTCTTCTACCTCTCTCTTTTATTTTTTTAATTTTTTTTTTGGGTCCGGTCGTGGGGCCTGAACTCTGGGCCTGGGTGCTGTCCCTCAGCTCTTCAGCTCAATTCTAGTGCTCTACAATACTGGAGCCACAGCACCACTTCCGGCTTTTTTCTTTTTGCTTATGTGGTGCTGAGGAATCGAACCCAGGGCCTCAGGCATGCAAGGCAAGCGCTCTACCACTGAGCCAACTTCCCAGCCCCTCTTCTACCTCTTTCTCACCTAAGGCTTGTGTTCAGTGTGAGCTGTGAAATGCATGTTCCAGGTCACTTGAGGTACATGCACTTTTCATGGTGATAACTTCAGTAAAGAGTCTGTTCACATTCTCCCTACTGAATACCTCATTTTCTTCAGTGATATTTGTAAGGTCTGCCCCGGTCCCTGCAGGCCATGTACAGACACCTCCCTATCTCTTGGCCAGGTTTCTGCCCAGTACCTGTCTTACGTAGAACCTGCCACACCTGGAAGCAGACAGTTTCCTCTCCTGTTAGTTTACATCGTGGTCATTCCTCTCATATGACTATAAGAAGGTTCCAGGCCCTGAGGTCACATCTAGATCTAGTGTGGCCACACCTTTCTCTCACCTGACTACACCTATCACTGTCCCATAAGTCCTGGCTTCAGGGTGGGGTTCCCCTTTAGGCCATGCCTCTCCACCATGCAACCACTGTGCAGTACTTCTGTAAATAAACTTCTTTTCCTGTCTGAATACCACAAGATATTCTTTTCATTGGCTACCTCATGAAACTATCTATTGACTATACTTTACATTAATAACTTAAAAGCTTCGATTTCAACTCACCAATGATATAGTAAGAAGTTTGTTTCATTGCTTATAAGGACTTGTGCCTTTAAATGCATGAAGGATTTTCTTGGGTTCTTCTTCTTATATTCTTTTGAGTTCAGTCTTGGGGCCTGAAATCTGGGCCTGGGCTCTCTCCCTCAGCTCTTCAGCTCAAGGCTAGTACTCTGCCACATGAGCCACGGCACCGCTTCCAGCTTATTTCTTTTTGCTTATGTGGTGTTAAGGAATCGACCCCAGGGTCTCATCCATACAAGGCAAGTAGTACCACTGAGCCACTTTCCCAGGTCAGATAGGTTTTATTTTTTTTAATGGAAAGTCTCTACAATTCAGTCATAGTTGTATGGTGCACAGCCAGGAAGAGTTCTGTTGGGATTCTGGCTGTGAGCCCTCCAACCACCAATGGTGGAAGACAGTCTGTGTCTCCTGAAAGTGCTCCTTTAGGGTGTGGTTACTCCTTATGGAAGTGGGGTCCTCCTGGGATATGAAAGCCATTTGCTGTTTGAGATGCCATCTGCTGTGAACTTGAACTCTTATTTCCTGGCAAGTGTCAAATCTGTCCTCTGTTACCGGAGGGGCTTAAGGTAGGAGAGTGTGTTGGTGGGTATGCTTCTGGAATGAAGACAAAGTTACTTATTCTCATCTTCCTGTCCAGGACTACAATCTTTTTATGAATGTTTAAGATAATTATATGAATGTGTAGAGTAAGGGGACATTGGAAGGACCCCATAGGAAAACACATCTAAATTCAATGCTTCATATCCCAAGAATCTCAGGGGAGAGGAAGGTGACAATTAACACGTGGGTCATCAGCAAGGGAGGGCCATCCTCTCTTCATACTCCTTGAAAAT